CATAAAAGTATTTTTAATCTTAAAATGAATATTACTTTCCATGATAGATAGGCAACATGCGAAAAGAAAAAAAAAAGACACGAGAAAAACATTACTTTGTAAACCCTAAGACTTAATCAAAAACATTCATATTTTGTATATGAGAGCATTGTAATGTTTACTGATAATCTGCCACATTTCATTAACATTTGCTTAATAATTTAAAAGTTATAAAATGAAAACTATAACAAGCACAAAATGGATACGAGGTCAGTCTGAGGGACCAAGCAAATGCTGAAAGAGATAACAGGTATCGCTGAAATGCAAATAAACATAAGTAATTATGTTTTTATTACTACAAACCTACACAAAATTTTTGTAACTCTACTAACCATAGAAGATTTGTTCAAGGAGTTTCCATGTAATTACGTTTGAAATATAAGTTAACTTCCTACTTCTTCCTACAAGCTGTATCAAAATATTTAATTCCTTCTTATAGTTGCAAGTGAATATATTAATTCAACTCCTCAAGCAAGCTAGATCATGCATAATAACTACAATACAGTGGTAATTAAATACCTTATAATGTGCAACAGGGGATATTACATCAAATTAAAGATATAGTTGATCAGAAAAATGAAAAATGTGAAAAACATATTTTGATCACTAATATTTCTAACACAAAATTTCATTTGACTACTCAAACAATAGTTTCTTGCAAAAATAATGCATTAATAAAATTTTAACAATATTTCATTACAAATCATATGCAGACCTTCTGCTCAGTGCCAAAGTATATTAAGTAGACTTAACCATAAAATTTATTTAACTCATGAAATGCTTCTTAAAGCAGGAATGAAGTGTTAAAACTTAATAGCATTTTTTATTATGATACTTGACAGCACATACCAGCCTAAAAGGATTTAGACTCCATTATTATAGTTATAAACATAAAAAGAAGATTAAAATTACTGCTTACCCTATGACCAAGTTTACGATACATAGGTGAAATATTTTCTTGTTAGAATCTTCATAAGCTAATTGTTCTTCCTCTTTTTCAATCTTTCTCATTAACTCTTCAGCCTAAAGTTAAAATCAGAAGCAATTTTTAACAGTTTGCATATCAAATCAATAATGATCTCTTACAGTATTTTAAGGATTCCGTAACAAAAAAGTACAAACCTCTTCATTCTGACTAGTCATGATGTAGGAGACACATAAGTTTGCAAGCACAATAGCACTGACATTCAAAATCTGCAAAAGAAAAGTGACTTATTAGTACTCTATAGAACAATGCCTTTGATTAACTTAAAACAGTATTATACTTATGGAAGGTCACAGAAAATATGAAAAAAAAAAGTTACTTTTCCTGCTTTAAAAGAATAATAATCTGACTTACTTTACAAATAATTATTCTCTATACAGATGAAAGAGCCTGCTAGAAACAACATTCTTTTTCTTAAACACATATATGTAACTAGTTTTCACTACTAAAAATATTGGATAAAAGTTAAAAATGAGCATACTTGAGGACCACACAAGATTTTTTTTTCTTATTTGAATAACTTGTAAGGAAGCATATCTTAAGCGACTTCCAAGCAAGTTTATTTTTCTCAAATATTTATAACAGTTTCAGAAAATAAATTACTTTTCCTGGAAGTTAATTAATAAAATGATTAAATAATTAAGGGAAGATAAAAAAAAAAGTCATACTGATACTGGTAAAAAGGTATTGATATTCTTTGAGTGAAAATATACAGCTTCATATAAGAAAAAGGCAGGCAATTGAAATTTCACACTCCTGCTGCAGTTCCGGGAGTTTGATTACCCCTTTTTAAAATCTGATCACTCCAGAACAGTTTACAGATTTGTTAAGTCTTAGTTCGTATTCTACTGATCATTGTATTAATAATTTATTAAACAGACCACATACATAACCGTTAGTATAAAATATATTTTTATGACAAATGGGTTGAAAATACAGTTATTCCTGTTATAGACAGTTAACTGAAGGCAATCAAAATTAAGTACATGAAGGTGAATGAGTACAACCAGTGCCTCAAAAACAAAGCAATAAAAGTACTAATGCATGCATTTTAATCTAAATACACAAGTTTCTGTTACAAAATGACTTATTCAGTTTGTAACTAGAAATTCATTTTGTATAATAGAACTATCTTAAATTTGGTACTTTTCATAATGGAAATCCATATATTTTGAAACATATATCATATAACATATAACATTTTGTAATATCAGTTAATGACATGTAATAATGGAAATTTTATCACTACAGTAAAAATATATCAATATTCACAACAGTTCTACACTCACAACAGGATTTAGGAAAAATTAATAAAATAATTACATATACTAGACTGCAAATCATTCAAGATGCTAATTTCAGTTTCACAGTAAATATACAAAGACATGAAAACAAACAAAGAGACAGCAACCTTACACCCACTTAGCTTTAAGAATTTACTTAAAAAGAAGTACATTATAGGTCAAACCACTAAGGAGTTAATATATATAATTGTGTATACAACGTTTCAGGCAATGCCCTTCTTCAGGTATCACTAACTGAACAGTAAATCTGTAAACGAAAACATTCTAAATCAAAGTTCGCATGGCATGACAATGTAACAAATATATGTGTATAACAATGCTTACAAACAATTGAAACAAAAGAAAGGTTTTAAGAATTTACTTGCCAACCTAAAAACCATAGGAAAACATTTATGCCTGCTTAAATGCAATTAAAGCTACAGTGTATTACCAAGTGACAAGTCAGCTAGAATATCCTGTGACCATTTTTAACACTTATCTGGCTAAATCGAGATTTGTCAGGTAACTATTCTGTTGTTAAAAGTATCAATTCACTATGTACATATTGCATATAGCAGCTAATACTTACTCTGAAGTTCACTTACACTAACTCTATAGTTCTACAGTACCCAAAGTTGATTAATTATAATGGCTAACAATATCATACATCTGAGACAAACCTTTCATGCTCTGAGCTTTTTTATGTATCCACTAAAAATTCTTTAAATTATTAATATATGCAGAACTCCTAAACACTAGTTTTTTATTTAAAAAACTATAAGCATCATTCAGTTTTGTTTACTCACAAGTACCAATTACACAACTTCAAACATACTACAAAGCATACATTTGGCACAATCACTATTAAAAATAGGACACCAATAAATGCATGAAGCAGGGTAGTCTGTCCGGAGTTACAAGTTCTTGTGAGGTACTTGCTGAATAAACTTCAATGAAATTTGGTGAAAGAACTTGCGTGGGCAACCAACATATCCTGAGTATACAATTTGAAGTGCCATAGATCTAGGCTTCTTCATACTTCTAAGCTAGCTAATATTTTCCTTTTATATATTAACCTTTAAGTTTGAAACACATCTATACTAAGTAAAAGCTTTCCTGCTTCAAAACCATCTCATTCTGTGTATTCATCTTTATTGCATGTATAGCATTAACTATGAGTTTTCTTAACAGTGAAAACTTTCCCTTTACAATATTCTACAAATGATGTTAAATCTGTAAAACCTATAATCTAGTCTAGCTTACAAACATCATATCCTGTGGTTACTTACATGATCATAATGCTTTTTAACAATTGGTTCATAGAAACCTGTTGCTTCTTTAAACTTGTTTTCCTGCATAAATAAGACATGAGCAACGTTAAGTTTCCAAGTATCATGTTCATTACAAAACTCTACTGACTTTCGAAAGATTTTCTCCACTTGGGGGTAGTTCTCCATGTCCCAGTAAACTTTGGCTTGGGCCATTAGTACTGGTATATACCTAGTAAAAAAACAAAAAACTCAAGCCATTCCTTTCTTTAGTAATGATTGTAAATTAATATTTTCAAATTAAATGAAAAATATTCAAATAAAAGCCTTATATCATGCCTTTGCAAGTAATAAGACCCTAAAAAATTACCTTATGCATTTTACTTTCATCAAAAACACAGGAAATGTGAAACTTCTGTCCTTATAAGAACCACAATGTCATTATACAATAGTTTCTTTGAAACTAGATCAAAACCACATTAAAATACTGAAAAAAGCTACACCCAGTTTATGAAACATCTTTTTACAAAAGTTTTCAATTTTACCTTTTTAGTTAAACATCATTTTCAGTATTCCATTTATGTCTCATACTTGGATAGTTTCAAGGAGATAAAAACAATTTTAATCTATTCTTTAAAGAGGAGTTAAATGAATAACAGGTTTCACATGTAAACTATTAACCCTTTCACAATGGGAGTCCCTTTAAATGCTTTTCTATGCAAGTCACTGTGTTACATTAAAAAATTTGCTGAAGGGTTGCACATGTCTCCCAAAAAAAACTGTAATATGCCTTTAGGGCACTGTTGACTTCTGTCTAGATAAATAATAAGTGGTAAAGGACAAGAAAGGAAAATAAAATATTGAAAATTAACTATATATATGTGAAAACGAAAATATCTGAAATTACAAATTTAACAAAAGGAAAAATCTTTAAAGATATTCTACAAAAAATTAAAAAGGTATGTTTTTTTTTCTGTTTCCTAATTTTAATGATTTCATTGCATGAAACTTTGCTGATAATAGCCAGAGTTAGTGATACGGTAAAAAAAAATAAAAATAAAATATAAACATTTACCTAAAAAAAAACTTTTGATATCCTTTTAGGAAGTTCTAGATATTATGCAAATGAAATATGAAACTATAAGACAAAGAAAAGTATTTTTACACTTAAATTAAAATCACCTTGCATTCGATTTGTTAATAGTTTGAATACAAGTAACTACAATAGAAAAACACTTAATTATAATAATATCATTCTTTGTGTACAAGATACTTTTGATCTTTAACAAAATCTTACCAGTTTTTGAAAGGATACATTAAGAAATTTCAGAGTTACCATAGGTATTGTTGCACCAGTGAAATTCGTGACTCGATTGCTACAAATTACATAAGCACAAGGGTTAATAGAATTTAATATCAGTAGCAAAAAAACCTTAGTTTCATTTCATCTAATCAATGACATTGTTCTTACAATATTTTATTTTTTTTAAATGATAAAAAGAAAAGTTTCTCAAAGACTAACATTATGTTTGTTTATAAATGAAAATAACTCTTAAGAATATTTATTGAAACTTAGGAAACACAGAATAAAAACAGCAGATGAATCACACAAACACCTGATACTCAAGTACCTTTTGGAAGGTAATTTTTTTATCAGGAGCTGAGAAAGATTTATCTTCTTCAGCTCTCAAGTTATCAGATTATTTAACTGTCAGTTTTAACAAAATGTATACTTCTCTAGAGCTTCTTCAAAATCGTTAACTGCCTTCTTGACTTGTTCATCTTCATTGTTTTGACGAGCCTCTTGTACAAGTTTGGTTAACTTCCTGAGAGACTCTGTGTGGCGAGCTGCCATCTCATCAAACTTCCGGTATGCTTCCTCAGGAGAGGTCTGCTGGGTTATCAGTGCATCCAAAAAATCATACAGGTACTAGGAAAACAAGAAAAGAGAAACAGGATGGTTAGTAACAGTTTAAGATTAATTTTCATTTTTTCATTAATAGTGCATAGTTTGATCCTGAAGTTATTATCTAACAATAATAAAGAAAATTAAAATGCCAATTTAATAAAAAAATAAGAAATTTTTTTGTTTCATTTCTCAATACATTACACCATGCTGTAATGTATTAAAAAACTTTTGATATCCTTTTAAATTATGCAAATGAAATATGAAACACTAAAACACTTACAAATGCACCCATTTTTGGTAAAGTGTGTGACAATATTTCTTAAGGATTCAGCTGGTGGCCACTTGTTTTAAACGAATCTTCCAAGCAAAGCTTAGAAAAACATTTTTGTGCTGCTAACATTTCTGAAATTTTAAGATGATGTCGTCAGTATTGAGATGGTATGAAAGTGGAAGGCATATATATTTTTGGTGTTTGTCAATCTTATTTGTGGTAAAAATACTGGTGCAGTATCTGTCAATCATATGTAAACTAGTTCTGTACATCTGCTGATTAGATGGTTCTGCCTCCTCATGAAACTGAATACAAAAGCTGCTACAGTCAGATGCAATTTATGAACTCTATAAGACAGTCTAATTATATGATGCTTAAACTTTTTTATAAAGTAAGGATCATGAAATTGAATTATAGTTAGTTTTATATTTTCTGTGAAGTAATTCGGCCCTTCCATTCAGCAATAACTATCATTAACAACATTATTACAAAGTAGTGTTTTTTTCTAAAGTAAATGAAAGTTTCACAACAAAACCATGCTGGTATTTAAATATAACTCTTCTTTTTTTTACTTTTTATGTAGGTGACCCTGACTATAGTTAAAAAAAAAAGTTATATTAATTTTTCTATTACTTTTAATTTGATCACAAAGCAAACTCAGGCATAATAGAGGCTAACTAAATTTTACGAAAAACATTCTACCACAAAAGAGGGTCAATTGAACCATGTGTTAAATAAATATTTTTACAATCAGGTATTTTTAACATGTGAATCTCTGTAAACCAGGTGTTTTATAAAGATGGGCATCATTATTAAAATAAACAGTAAACTGGGTTTCTGTGACATGCAAATACAACATTGTTCAGTATTCTTTTCTCAGCACACTGGGACTTGACTTTAATGCTAGCCTGATAACACAGAACAACTAACAAATGTTACACACTAGTCCAATGGGGGTAGTGGCTTAATACAGAATATGTTTTATTTTTGACTTTTTGATATGCTCTTGAACTCAGTATGCTCAAACTGTTTATTTTCAAAAACAGAAAATGAATTAACTTAACAGCCAATCAAATGACTTATTTCTCTGAAGATCAACATCAGTGTACTGCTCCATTTGTTTTGTGATATTTACCAATCTAAAGTATTTTATCTGAATATGTGGATGTTACAATTAAAATACTTAACTCAGTTGTTTATTAAATATTGTTTGGTAAGTGTTTAAAATATTTAGATTTTGAACATTTTAATTGCTCTATAGATATATGGATCTTCAAAAAATAGTGTTTTGTATATATAGTTTTATTAGTAAAATGTTTGTGTGATTAACCCTAGGCTAGTGACCTACTATAGTTACCAGAAGGATAAAACAAAATACAATGGATTATAAATATATTGCACAACAGATGAGTTTAAATTTTTTGTTTTATCCTTCCATTTACTCCTTCTCTTAAAAACTAAATAAACTAATGATTATGATATTATGGTTTTAGTTAATAATCATCTTCATAACATGATTTACAGATTTAGCTAAAGATGGAACAAATGTATTCCAAAATGTTCGAACCTAGTAAATAAAATGTTTTGTGTTTTATCAACAGTCTTCATTTTCGTTATTAGACTTCATTTGCCCTTCATGAAATTTGATCAAGTATTTCTACTGTGATAAAGGAACATCAATGACACCTCCACCAGTCCAGAAAGGATCAATTCCAATATTAATGGTATATTTCTTCAAATCTTCTTTGTGTGACTATTATGTTACTAAGACCCCAATAAAAAAAACAAAATGGGTCCACAAGCAATTTGGTATAAAATAGTTTTAAAAAATATGTTTAGATAGCCAACGAGATTTGGACCCAATCAGTGATCTTTGGTTCAATTATTTGATTTTTTTTTACACTCAGTTTGTTTCTAAATTGATTGAAAAAATGTGTTCTCTGCCTTTTACTTTTTTCTAGATTATTATTTTAATTTCTAGATATTTATTTACTCTTCTATGGAAAAACTGACAGGTTAAACTTATTTTGTAAACAATTGTGTAATTTTCCTTAAAAAGATTGCAAAAGATTACCTTCTACCTAAAGACAACAGAATATTAGATTTTATATATATTTAGTAGAACACACTTCAAGAACTTTCTAAGGATTTAAAATCACTTTTTCTGGCTTACTATTTTTCATATCCCAAAGCCAATATTCATAAAATTATTACTTTAACACATTTTCTAACTAATTAATTAATTAATAATATTAAGGTAATCTTAAAATAAAAATAAAGTGCATAATGAAGTCTTAATTTCAAATAATGTTGGAAATATCTGGTTAAAAATATCTTGTAAATTTTGTTTTATCAATTCCTTATTCCTTTTCTCATTAATTTATGCAATAAGGTCATCATCTCATTAAGTTTATAACAAAACAAAAATCCAGTGGTGACTAACATTCATGAGAAACACCACATCAAATAATGGATAAAATAAGCTCTTATCAACATATTCTATATTTGGAATACAGCAATCCCCTGATAGATCTGTTATGTTATTAACTCTTCCTTAAAACACACTAAAGTACTATACAGAAGCATAAAGAAAAATTGCAGATGAAGTGTTGCACATTAATGATTCTCTGAAGTGGTTAATAACACAAATAATAGAAAGTTCAATTATTTAATATTTCTGATTATATAGTTAAACATTTCATAGAGCACATACTATTCAAAGAAAACTATTTACTCATGATAATTTTATGCTTGAGTTGGAAGTGAATGTGTAAACAGTAATAAATATGAAGCATCAAAGCATGAAACTTAACCCTCTCACTACAGGTAGATCGAAAAGCACATATCACAACTTTTTAGAAAATTACATTCAAAATATAATTAAACTACTTTATTATCATTGGATACAAATACACTTGGCATCAATACATAGTTAATAAATCAAATTTTAATATTATATACGTTTTAAGTTCTTAATTTTATGAGGAAATGTTTAAAATCCTCAATCTTCCCTAGTATGAGAATTGTGACATTTGTTCTATTCCCTAATATATTTACCATCCCTCTGAGAAGTATTGATATTCCAAAGGCAAAGCACAATTTTTATAGCCCTCACTTTTATTTGTTTATGGAGACATAAACTAGAAAATCAGACCCATCTGCCACGCCCACCTGTCACATTTTCTCGTTCACAAGTTGACAGTAGTTCTCTCTGATGTTTTATACTACATTATTTATAACCAACAGAAAGCCAAAATTTTTTTATCTATCAAGTTACATATTACATTATGTTGTTTTCTGCAAATAGTATTGTCTACATACTCTTTAGTTTGAAACTTTGTCTCACAGTATTCACCTTGATAAACTTAGCTGAATTTTTAAAGGCTCTTATAACATAGTTAAAAAGACAGATAAATTTGTGCATAATATTATTGTGTTTTTAGGTGCATTATTTAATTAAATAAAAAATTAATGTAGTAGTAGTAGTACCATTAGTATAAAAAAGTAGGCTCAAGTTTCATTAACAGTCGACAGCAAAAAAACAAGAGGCCCAGGTAAGTACCACATTTTTTTTTTTCATGTGCCTTCTATATTTATTATTAATTATTATAAAGTAACTAAAATGTAAAAATTAAAACTTACAAGGTTAGATTAGGTAAAATAATGAAAAAGTATAATAATAAAAATTCTTCACATAGTCTCCCCACAAGCAGTATGCGTGTTATGTAACTTGATATGGTAATGTGAGCAACAAGTTCACTGAGTGATTTATAACATGTGTGGTGGGAATATTAGTTAGACACAAGTTAAAGGGCAATAAAGATAAGTATAAACAGATTCAGACTGTTACAAGCCTTAAGTTATTTAAGATAAACAATTGTAGTTTAATGTTACAATTTGCAGTCATTCTAAAAAGAAATAATGGGTAATTTATATTCATTTCAAAATTTGTTATGATGGCTACAAGGTCTGTCAAATTAATCAAATAGGCATAGTTATGGTAGAGAAAATAACAGATAAAATATAAAGTTTTAATGAAAAAAAATGTGATATTTATTTAGGAGGTTTTCGAGATTATGCAAATCAAATTTGATAAGTTTCAAATAAAAAGTATATTCAATCTTAACATGAAAATCATTTTGCACTCAGGCTCCATATATTCACAGACAAATTTGTAGTAGAAATACTTAATTAAAAAATCTGACTTTTTGTACACAAAAGATCTGTAATATTTACTGAAAGCTTGCCAAATTTCATGAAGATAGATAAAACATTAAAAGTTATAGAGTGGAAACTTTCATGATCACTTTGGGGTTATAAACTCAATCAAATAGAAAAAATATGAAAAAAAAATGAATAGAAAAAATTATACATCATTGATAAAATATTCAAAAAAGTTAGGTGATACCAACTGGCTTGCACTGCACTTTTATTCTTGTTAATGCACAAACATTTTTTTTACAGCTGTGCACATATTTCAGGTTGTATTCAAACCCAACTGATATGCTTGGTAGCCTAATAATATTTAATGACAGTCACCATCACTTCTTGTTAAGGATTATTACATTTTTAATATTAGAAAACTAGTTTTTCATGATACAATGCTTTAAAACTAAGTTAGAGGCATTAACTTTTGTGTATATTTGTAAAAGATCCAACATTATTAATATATTCTATTTCAGGTACGTTTTTTCTTTGTTTGTTGTGTGTGTGTGTGTGTGTGTGTGTGTGTGTGACTAAGCAACAATAATGTCTCAATATTGTGGGTAAGGGTATAAAAACCTGACTTATTATGAACAGTCATTTGCATTTTTCTTAATACTGCGGTTGACTATACATAAAAACTTAAGACAATATGTTTTCTTCTTACAAAACGTGAGTACATTTACTGCTTCTTCCTCACTCACTTTGTACAATGTACAAACTGTGTTTAGTCAAAACAATTTACTTACAGGAGTCAAATATTTGTAAGTCAAGTGAGCATTTTCAGCTAGAACATCTGCTGCAAGGTCATAGTACTGCAATACATTAAAAAATTATCACTGAAAAAACACAATCAAATATTCAATTCAAACAGTTCAGTTTTATAACAAAAATATTAGTTGGAGATGCTCTGTTACCTTGGCTAGGTTACAAAAATAATTACAATTAAAATAAATTAATTGGAATTACTAAAATATTATTATCTTTTACTGCTCTAATTTTACTAAACAAGACACCCAATGTAGCAATACTTTAGATTGATTACTTATTCTTGTTGATTTTTTATAACAAAATATATTTCCATACATACTATAAGTTTTACATCAATTCATTCAAAAATAGCATGTATCAAGATGTATATTACCTCAAATTTACAGTACAGCAAAAGCAGATTTCCAAAAGTTTCTGGAGGGAAAGGATTTTGCTGAATCAAGAATTGCAGTTTCTCAAACCCCTCAGTGGGATGGGTTTCCATGTTCATTAGTGCTTGATTGTGGAGAGTGACAGCATCAAGTTCTTCTTCAGAACGAGGTGGCATATCTGTAAGAGCTTCTCTTGCTGCATCATCTTCGAACATAAAACATATCAAACTTTTGGTCACTTTTAGCAGAACAGTAAATATTAATTTATATAATGACTTCTACCAAAACAGTTGCCAAAAATCTTCAGTGAAATTACAAGTAATAAAAACTAGTCTTTGTTAAGAACAACAGGCAAACCAAAACCTCTATGACCACTATCTTTCTTAGTTCATTAGTTGGGTATCTTCCTTGTCAATGGTATTTTAACCCGATAACCACCGGCTACTAACTTTCTACATAGCCAATTCATGGCTTGCCGTATTTTCTTCCAACAATAAAATTAGTGGATGAAATTGTTTGAAACTTCATAAGAACTATCATAAATGCACGTAGTTTAAGAAACATAAAGCCTGTTACTTTTGATAAATTTAGTTTTTTTGCATTATGATCTTTAATATCTTGGAAAATTACATAAGGAAATGGTATTTATAAGAAATGATTACGATATTCATATTTGTTCCAGATTTGAACTTATTACTTTTTATGTTTTAGTACATTATTTTAAAATCTCTAAAAACATTTTTTATTGTCCATAAAATGCAAATTTTATCTATTTTTAATTTTTTTTATAATCAAGTACTCTTCTTATGGTTTCAAGTAATATACAAGACCCAAAAATAATATTTCTAAGTAAACCAAAACAATAAACAAGTACTTTTTTTATTTTAACTAGGATTTCATGTTTACATATGTACATAACAAACATTAATTTTGTTTCATAAATGTATCTTTCTTTCAAGTTTATGTTTATGTTTCATTGCAGCCATACTTTTGGTTATTGTGCCAAATAAATAGTGAGAGGTTAGCAGTATGAACTTCGTACATTTGCCGTAAACTATCATGCCCGTTAGTGGTCACTCTCGTTCAGTCCAGCGCAGGCACATTTGAACATTACTGTAGATATTATAGTAAAAAAAGCTTATTTCTTTGAACTTTCAAACAAGTTTATTCCAACATATATCCTTGTATGTTGTTTCACTATACAAACAAAACTAATTGCCATTGCTAGTGAATGTATGTAATAGTTTACAGTACAGGTGGTTTGAATAATACCGCCTGACCCTAGTAACATGATACATCCTGTTACAAGAGATTACCAAATGATACAGACAACATAAATTACAAAGAAAATTACTTTACAGCACTTTAAAGATTAGTCCTGGTCACATTCCTCTCATCATAGGCAAGATTTATATTTGAATTCGAAACTTAAGCTCTTCAGTGTACTGAGACCCCAACTGTGAGAATGTCATAGCTTCCCCTATATTATTGAGATGAATGTGTTTAGTCTGTTTCACAACCAACGTATGGGTTTATTGTTGTCACTTGTACATTGAGTTTTAAACCATTTGCAAATTATTAGAATAAACTTTCATATATCAGTTAGACTGTTTTAATTCTAAAGCAACAACAACAGAAGTGTGGGTCTTACTACAAAGTAAAGATAGTAAGAAGGAAAAATATAAAATTCTTATGTGGTAATGGTACTAGTAATAGTATGTACAAATCACACAAGTTATCATTCTAAATACTGAATCATATTCTTATTATGAACTAAATATAAAAGTACACTAAATTTTTTAACTTAAAACAACTAATTTAAATGCAAAAGAATATAAAAAAATCACAAACTCTTTCAGTTCAAAGTGCTAAGCCTAATTCATGTAAAGACCATGCATTTGTGACTCGATAGATCTTAACCTTAACATTCATGGATCAACTTCTTTCTTAAAAAATATATCTATTTTGAGTTAGTTTTTCAATATAATGATTAATATAAATATATATATATATATGATACAGCATGACTTATACTACTACAGAAAAATAATAAAAGTTGCATACATCCCATGCAGATTTTTCCAGAAGCAAATTTTCTAAGGCTTATAAAAAAAAGTACTATTGACCAATACTAAATACAACCTCTATATAAAATGGCAGTTACTATAATAAGCACCCTTCACATTCATTGACACCTTTGACTAGGATTGGTTAAATGTTTTATAACTGAAGTTTAACATGCCCAGACATTGTTTTATAAAGAAAACAGACAAGAAAAAGGTTTAGATACCGATAATAGATGGAGGACCAGTGCTAAAGTGCAAGAAAAAATTTTTTTTAAATGTTGAAACACATTTTCTTCTTACAGGGCACTTATTTATAGTCTCAAACATATTTTTGGATTTTTTTTTATTAACTTTCTCTTTAAACTTCATTAAATACAATTTTGTACAAATAATTGCATGTTATGCTACTATTTACATAAATAAAATAAAACCCAACAAAATATAAGTTGTTCTCTATAACTGTTTCAATTCACAAATGTGATTTTACCCTCACAATAAGACAAAATGGCCCCAGTAGGTAAGGGGTTAAGTCCTTATCCAACTACATCTGACAAGGTTGGGCTTGCTTAAATTGCTAGCACCAAAGCAGAATTATTACATTTTACCATGTTTATCACATATGACCAATGTAACTGTTACTATTTAAGATAATTGATGTTACATATTAAATCTGTCTATCATTATTAACAACTAAAAGTACATACTAAATTGACAAAGTTACATAAACACATAATTGTTGAACATCGCATCCAATTTACTTTTATACTAAGAATAGATGAATAACATTGAAAAGATTTCACAAACATCAAATTAGGTTCCAACCTGAGTTTCAATATAATTAAAAATGTTTATTCAGTAAACAACAGAAGTCACATAGTTACCAAAAAAAAATAAAGAACGAAAATGTTTTATTCATACAAATTTTAGTACAAGTATTCTAGTACAAAAGATAGATATTATAACAAAACTCACAATTTTTCAGCTGATATTCAATAGCAGCTTTTAGGTTAAATGCCTCAATTAGAGCAGTTTCATGAAGAGTAATGGTGTTTCCAACACTTCTTACTTCAATACCTTCTGTTGTCATTCCAACACTTAATTCTAAGAAGTAAAAAAAATATATATATATAAAATCTACAACTAAGAGCACTTACATAAAATATTTTAAAGTAATCCTTACACTCAAAACAATGTTAAAGTGAATGTTTTTATTAAATTCATTCAAAGAAAAACAAACAAGCAAACATTATAACAAATTTAGTCTGCAAGTTAATGTTATTTGAGTTATGACAATCAAAATTTTATTTGAAACTAACACTGTAGAGTTATTATTCTCCAAACTTCTAAAACCAATGTTGCAGTAATATTTGTTGAATATTATATCTAAACCTAGGTTTTAGCTAGCGCTCACCACAATGACTGCTAATGATCAATAACTAACTGTGTATTACAACTAATTTTTGCAAAGTTAGTGACATGCTGGCATTTCACATAAAAGTTTGTTTTCAAATATGAAATTCATGAAAATCCTATTGTAGTTCTAAAACTGTTTTGTGGCCACTGTCAGTCTGCCTAAACTGTATTTCAAAACTACATCAACAACTTGTGAAAACTTGCTTTGACTGGTCAGTGACATGAATGCCATTTGATCAATAAATGTTCCTTTCCTAGCTGTACCAAGTATAATTAGCTGGTTGCAATGTGTCAATCTCTTACAAATACTTAAAATCCTAAAACAAGGTTTGCATTATTCTCTAATAGCTGTTGCAGACAACACATTAACAAGTGGCTTTTCAACAGCATTTATTGCAAAAAAAATAATTTCAAACACAATTTAAAGTAAGCCAATAAAACCTTCTGATGTTAGACTTGCATGTACAGAGGGTGTTGTCAAGAAGTCCAGTAAATTTAATAGACTTCATATTCAAGACAGATGGTTTAAATCATAGTCACAATTAGAGTATGATGCATAAAGTATTGTATTTCTATATTGCTTCCATGAAAGTTCAGAATCAGAATATTTTTGCTAAAGGAAAAGATGCCAGTAATAGATGAAGATCACCTAATACTGGCTTTTTCTTTTGCACTGTGTAGTCACATTTCAGAGTTAGTAACTAATTTCATTATTGACACACACACACACACACACATATATATTAGCAAGCTAGTCTAACTAAACCAATGACATAGTATTACTACTGTACAAAATATAATGCAGAAGCAATGCCAATATTAATCAATCTCTGAACCTATCACACCAGTATTACACAGCTTGTAGTTTATGAACTTTTGTAGCCAACTTGATCTCATTGTGAATAATATTACTTACCTAAAATTTACAATCAAATGGATTCATACATATTGAAGTGACTAACAATAATCAAAGTGTGTTCTCAAACTATACCTTTGAAAAATATAAACAAACAGATTTTTCACCCAAAATGAACAAGTTTACCCAAAGATGCACTTTGCTCCCAAAACAATGAAACAGAAAATTAAGACATTTGTATTAATTCAATCAAAATAAAAATCTTAAATATCAGTAAAACTGATTAAATGCATACTTTACTAGAACCAGGATCAACCATAACCACTATTTTGTGCTTATATGTAAATTTGTTTCATCTGAAAACTATTGTCATACATAGATAACATACCTTGCCAGTGAATCAGTTATTTTCTTCTTAATGTTTTATGCAAATAATAGTTCTGAAAGCTACAAATCCTAAAAAATATACATTTGCAGTATTATAAACGTTTATATCACACAAATTGAAAAACTAAAAATACTTATGTCACATAATGTATATTGCTCAGAAGGTTACTAACCTGGATGTTCACGGATTCCTCTTTCAATGATGTCTGCAATATGCTTAAGAGCAGGAGCAAACTGCTTCATGCTGTAGTGGCATAAAGCTATGTTGTAGGACAAATCTAAAAAATTGTCCTTCATTAGTAAGTATAAATGTACTTATGGTACATAACATTTTATGCAGGTGAAATGTGATCTATAAATCACTGATTTATGTGGCATTATCAGAATAAGACTGATAAAAGTTATGATCAGTCTTATTATAATGTGAAGTTACACAAACCACACAGAGGTAAAGTTATTTTTAAAACAAAATTACAAATATTCTGAACAAATTTGAATTAGCTATGTCCAATAAGGAGTTGATCTTTTAGTTTTTATCTAAATAGGCATATTGCTTTAATCAGAAGATTATTATTACAAATAAAAAAATTTCTTCATTACTACAAACATGCATTCTTTTAGACTAGTTTTTACTTACACATAGCATTTAATTAGTGTTACTAAAATGTAATTTTAGTACACATCCACTTTTCACCACTTCACAAGTCACAAACTTTCACAAGCTGGCTTTTTATAATAAAGAATTAGCATACAACCTTACCTGGCTTATAACCTTCTACCTGCATTGCACTTGTAAATTTAGTGCATGCTTCTTCAAACCTTCCCTCCTAGAAATGAAAAAAATTTAAATAGAAATGTTTGTAAATTAAAACAGAAATATTGAATAAAAAGTACAATTACAGGTGTGACTTAGCAATGTTAAATTTCTTTGTTATATCACTCTCCTTTTGATGAGAATTTTCATATTAGCTGATTGAAAAACATGTTTGTTATGTTTCTTTATAATTATGATTTTACTAAATACCATTTCTAATTATAATGGAAAAATGAAATTGAAATTTTTAGAGAAATATTAAGTTAATAAATATCTCTTTTCTTTCTTGTTTGTTTTTGAATTTCGCGCAAAGCTACAAGAGGGCTATCTGCGCTAGCTGTCCCTAATTTAGCAGTGTAAGACTAGAGGGAAGGCAGCTAGTCATCCCCACCCACCACCAACTTTTGGGCTACTCTTTTACCAACGAATAGTGGGATTGACCGTCACATTATAACGCTCCCACGGCTGAAATGGCGAGCATGTTTGGTGTGACGGGGATTCGAATCCGCGACCCGCAGATTGCGAGTCGAGCACCCTAACCACCTGGCCATGCCGGGCCCTTTTCTTTCTTATCCTTTTTCTTACTGTTACTCTATAGCTTACAATGTGTAACATATTCAACTTGTGATATATTCACAGTTCAAAACAGATAGCATATTAAAGCTATATCCACTTACTTGTTTTGCCTGACAAGTGATTAATGATATTTAGCATCTGTGTTGAGACAATGTGTGAATATTGGTAGAGGTGAAGATCTCTCCCTCAATGTGTGAAAGGTATTCCAGTGAAGGGCTGGGCCATGCCTTGGAACATTTCAGACAGGCAACTGTCTGGACTGAGCAGATTTGAGACAGGCATTGCTGTCTGATGCTGAATCTACATGGCCCTTAGCTTAATTCAATCAAGTGAGGAGGGGCAAATTCACAGCTACAATGGTTGGCCAAGATGCTGACTTTACTGTTTGACTGAGGTGACAAGCTAGCAAGGATAATCACTTGATTGAGTTATTAATGACAAAGTGTGGCAGCCTTGCTCTCCAAACTCTTGAATAGTGGTCCAACAAAATATTTGAACAGATTTTGTAACTTAAAGGATATGGTATTCCTTGCTTTCTGAACCACTGTGAAGTATGGGGTATTGAATGGCTACCATTTGATTATAACAGCTAGAACAGTCTTTGATCGAGAAAGCTAAGATGGAAAGGGTTTTGTAATCTTTGTTTTCCAAGTCATTGATTGATTTTCTTCCAAAGTGGCTTTCCAACTTTCCATGAGAATTATTTTCTCTTATCCAAAAAGTGGTGGTTCTTTTGAAACATGTGGAGGGATTCTTGAGGAAACTGTCACATGTACACTTAACTGTGTATCACTCCTTCATATGTAGTGAGGAACTTTTTTTGTTTACTGATACAGATGGTGAATTTTGTGCCTTTTCGATGGAGTACCTATTACTTCACTGAGGTTAACTATATTTAATTTTATTTGAAGTCAACTAACATGAGTGCATTGACCTTTATAAGGTGATTCAGTGAACCGAAAGTCTGTTGTTGTTGACCGTTCAGAACAGTAAAGGCACTTTAAATATAGATAATTGTATTTAGGCAAATTTGATCAGATTAAGTACTGATATATCAGGTAATAACAGAACAAATATTAAATCTGCCATCAAGAACTTTAGTTGAACAGTCTAGTTCAGCTAAGTTCTGCTAGTAATTATTTCTTCTTCTGCGAGACTTGTAAAGCACAGCAAGTTTCATCACTAGCAGGGGTTAACTACTGATGTGTAATTTATGAGAGTAGCATTACTCAGTTACTGTATGTGACTGTGTGGAAATTGAAAACTTGTGCTTATGAATATACAGTTGTGAAGTTATATATGTAAGGTGTAGCAAACATATATGAAATTTCATAGTTCTCTTGTTAGTGTTCTCCAACACATAGTGAATCAATCACTAAGAAAATGACCAGATGGAAATCTTTTATCAGGTTTTATAGAGCCATATTTATTTACAGTAGGTTTCTGTGGCTAATTCATGATAAATTTCAACAATAAATGGACAACACACAATCCACTTGTTTTAAAATAATATATTCGAAACAAGTGAAATGTATGTAGAAAAAAAAATTCATAACACTATTGATTATCACAGTTGTATCCGGAGCTTTAAATAATTCTTTCTGTTTCGTCAAAGTCCACACAGGTGGGTTCAATTACTTTAGAACACCCTTTGACAAGACAAATTATTCTCCTCTACTCTCTTGTTATAATACAAGGCTGTAACATTCACTTTAAAATCACCACTATAACTGTTGGTTACCACAGTTGTATCCAGAGCTTTAAATAATTGTCTCCTTTTTGTCAAAAGTCCACATAAGCTGGTTCAGTTACTTTAGAACTCAAATGACAAGACAAATTATTTCTTCTGTATCTCTGTTATTACAATACAAGCTGTAAAACTCACTTTAAAAATTGCCTGTTACGGCTAATTCACACACAGTCTAATTTCACTTTTACTTTCACAAACTTAACTTGCTCTCTGTACCTGCATGCAGAGGAAGCTAATGGTGAACCATTTCTATCTGATGTTTCAGAGTTTCTAGTTTTACCTACCACACATAGGGCTGGCCTTGCTTTCATGTCATTGGAGTCTATGGACATAGATGCACTGCTCAACAATGCATTATATATGAAAGCTATGGAGGCAGTGACTGTGAGGTTAACCTTCCAAACTTCAAAACATTTGAAAATCTTCCCCTCCAACTAACCACCAGTGGTCCCAACCACAGAGTTCACAGAGCCAGGAATCATGGTTCTAGTGTATCAGGAAGCCCAGTCCATGCTGGATCTAGCTCCCCTCTTGGTGTGAAGGAATAGAATAAATTCAAAATGTCCATGGACAAGATGGAGCATCAGGACCACCACATCACTCATCTTAGCAAAACCTTCCTGGAACATTAGCATAATATAAAATCTATCAAAGGGGAAGATCATTCCATGGATCCAGCTCATTTATCCACCACCTCAAGGACAAATACCCCAATGGCAATTTCCTCCATGAGCATCTTGGTGCCAACCATAACTACAAAAACAAAAAACGAAATGGTAGCATTCTCAACAAAGTCTCTGATCAAGGTAAAAAAGCAACTCTTGTTCCAGCAGTAAATGCCAATGTCAAGAAAAGGTGGCAAGGTAGATAGAGGCCTGGGCTTAATGTAATTACAAGGAAGGCTGTCTGCTGAATTGAAGAGAGCTGCCAACACAGCTGGAGGAGGAAGTGTGTTGCCTCTTGAAAAAACCAGAAACATTTATCCAACAAACCTCCACAGTGCATCAGAAATCCAAAGATGCATTGGGGAATTTGCTGTTGGGGATCCACCAGGTGAATAGCTCTACCTTCCATCCTAAATTGTACATAAATGTAACAAATGTATTTGTATCATAATCTGAGAGCATATTGAATAACATAATTTAATAGCAATCAAACCTTAAAAATACCTAGGAAACACATCTTATCCCAAAGTGATATCAAAAGCATTTCTATCACTACTATTTCAAATTAACATAAAAGATGTTTTCTTATGAAATCCTTATAAATTTTTCATTTTTCTACAATTCACTTAATCCTCTCGCTATGAGTTTGGTCGATTTGTCTGAATTTATGACCCAAAAATTGACCTTTAGAGTTTCCATACTATAACTTTTAATGTTTTGTCTATCTTCATGAAATTTTGCAAGCTTTCAGTAAACATTTCAAGTCTTGTGTAGACAAAAAAAAATCAAAATTTTTAATGAAGTGTTGACTGCTCTCAGTGCAAAGTGATCTTCATGTTAAGATTAAAAATACCTCTCTTCATCTTAAAATTGTCCAATTTCATTTGTGTAATCTCTAACATCTCCTAAATAAATTTCAAACATTCTTTTTTCAGTAAATCTTCATATTTTATCTGTTATTTTCTCTAGCCTAATTCTACATGCATTTGATCAATTTGTTCGACCTTGTGACCATCATAAAAAAATATGAAATAAACCTAAGTTACATTTTTTTTCTTTCTAGAATGACAGCAAATTGTAACAGGAAACTACAGTTATTTATCCTAAACAGCTCAAAGCTTGGAACAGTATAGATCCGTTTGTATTTAAATTTTGTGTTTTCTTGCCTCTTGAACTGAGTCTAACTAATAATCCCACCACCATAAAAGTTATAAATCAATCGGCAAACATGTAGCTCATGAGGTATGTTTTATTTTCTTTATCTTACCTAATGTAACCTAATAAGTTTCATATTTATTACATTTTAATTACTTTTCAATAACAAAGAATACACATGAAAATCAAAAAATATAGTACTTACCTAGGTCCATGTTTTTTTGCTGTCAACTGTCAATGAGATTTAAGCCTACTTTATTTCTTATTTTATATATCTATATACTACTAAAACTCTGAGACTGTTTGCTTGTGGGCTTGTCTGTAATTAAATACAGCAAAAATGGCACACAATAGCGCCATATTTGTAATTAAATGAGAATAGAAACAGAATAAAACAAGTTTCGTTAAAATCTGGCCACGGGTTTTAGGTACACTAGATGCTGCTGTACGGCCAAGGGGATGTACGGTATCTCTGTTATTACAATACAAGCTGTAAAACTCACTTTAAAAATTGCCTGTTACGGCTAATTCACACACAGTCTAATTT